AGGTAAATATTGTTTATTGAACAATTCATTATATATGTAAAGCGACCTAGTAAAAATTATAATGGTAAAAATTTAAAAATTCTATAAAAAAATGCTTTTTTCGCATGCGTTCATATATATTTGTCTATCCAACTGCGAAAATGAATGATATCAGTAAAAATGACTAATAATAATTATTATTATTCGAATGAAAAAAAATTTACGGCTTCTACATTAGGGTGTTTCCCATATCTGTAAATAGAAAAATGGTATTTTTTAATTGAAAGTAGACAAAATTCTATGCTGGTTAGTAGCATCGATACAACAAAGCGATTTATATCAACACTTCCCGAAGCGAAAAACGATTGTTGCCTCTGAATATGAATATCAATCACTCCATTATATGAATACAATCTCATAGTGAAGAATACTTACAGAAAAAAACACCTAGAAGTACTTCCTCGAAATGCTGAGACACAACAGTCAGTCTCAGTTAATGTAACAAATTACAATATTAATTTTTGATTAATTTTCGAGTACGAATGGTGATTGGTGATGCTTAAGGCTGCTGATTCGGTTGAACTGCTGGCTGTCGCGGTGATCGTCTGTCTAATCCTGCCGGAATATCCCATCCAAACAGCTCACAATGTCCTATTCAAAAGTAAACACACACACGGAAATAATGTATAGATTATTGGCAGAAATGATTTTTTTTCTTAAATCTATACAAATGTTTAGATATCTCAACAGAAATTTATTTTTTTATTAAAAAAATATTTTCTCAATGTCATTAAATATTGCATACATATTTATCATCGAGCGCTAAAATAGATCATTCAAATAGTGTGCATTTCATTTAATATGTAGAATATATGCAAATGCAAATTTCTAATACACATACCTTTGATGAGAATGCATTTGGCGGCGACGATATCACGATCCCAAGATGTCTTGTGTACAGCCATTAGTAGTTGCTCGTCTTCGATTTCCAATTCATTTTCATCATCGACTGCATATGGCTGTTGAACAGTTGCATACGGTGCATCAGCATTGACTTGAGCATATTCCAATTTACCACTCACTGTGTTTACTTGCCAATTTTTTGGATACACGGCCACCTTAGACAGTAAACGTTCAGCAGCAATATCGAATTCTTGCTCAGTCATGAGTCCTTCTGCCCAAAATCGCATCAAATAAAGTTCAACGTCATCTTTGTTGTACCTCAATTGCCGTTTGCTGCGCTGTGCTACGATTTTTGATGGTAAATATTCGGCGAAAATTGAATCGGGCTCCGCTCCACAATTTTCACACACTTTGAATCGATGGCTCCTTGTGGCTGGATTAAATCGTCGCCCACACTTTGCACAATGCTGCGATGTACCCCACTCATCTGTTTTGCGCACACGACAATTGCGACGTTTTCGAAAGCCTTTGAGTAGTTTGCGCGTACCTGGAGCTCTCACATGCTTTTTGATTCGAATGCACGAGTTTGGTGATATTTCTGCATTTCCCATGTGAATAATTGCGGCTTTATGATTGACCAAATTCCCAGTGAGTTTATCAACGGTTCGATTCGATTCGACGTACTTGTCAAACTGCAACAGCGTGTATTTCGGTGTTGTATACACGGCCATTCCTTTCTTGAGCATTTTGATACGATGATGAACGTAATCAATCCAGAGTATGCCCAGTGGTGATGGCATTCGCTGATACAATTGTCGATTATTTCGATCTTCCTGCTCCTCTTGGGTGAACTGCTTCGTCCATCGTTTTGCCTTTACATCGCGCGTCTTCTGCTTTGCCAGCCAATGGTACTTCTTACTGGACGTTTTCAAGTTGACCTGAAATGGAAAAGTGAAGAAAAAAATTATTCACGTAACTGTATCACTTTCTATTTCTCAATAATGCCAAAAATTTAAACACTCACTTCTTTCTTTGTTTCGATATTTCGACGAACTGTGGCATTCCATGTTTTCATGCCTGGATCGATTCCCAGTTCATAAGCAAATTTTCCGCCGATGAATTGCTTTCGAAGAATATCATCATTCTGCATCTGTTGCTCGTATTGCTTTGACATGCGATACATAATCGACACAGATTCACCGTTGCTGACGATGGTATAATGGAATTCTTTGTTTTTCTTCAGTTTTCGATTGATGGTCGTAAAATCGAATACTTGATTCCAATAGAATTCTTTGTTCTGGCGAAGGTAACTTTCGGTTGCTTGTCTACCATCAACTTGTGGAAGTAGTTTCGATTCGGCCAGCATTCGATAGAAGACATCATTGCACATGAACACTGCCTTTCGTTGATAATCAGGCAATGGAACAACCGAGAGATTTTTGATATTTGGTATCTTCACATTGTTATCTTGCGCCCAATTGTGCCACTCATCGATTTCTGTCTGCATAACGAGCCACATTGCAGTTGCTTTGAACCAATAATCGCCTTTTGAAAAATCCTTGATGTTGTGATCATTGGTTGGGCCACCAACTTCTCGAACAATTGCAGTAACCATGCCAGTAAGTAATGTTCGCTTGTGTCGTTTGAAATCTGCATTTTGATGAGTGTCACGGATCGCATTGTAGCCTCGAATCATCAAATCGACTGCATTGTCAATGTCCTTCTTGTCGAATTTCCAACCGGTAGACACTGCGTTGAATTGCCACGCTCGCATTCGCAGATAGTTTTTCAATTTCTTCTTGCAGTGTGTCTTTTGACCGGTTTTCAAGCATCGCGTGTGATTTTGGCACAGCGTTTTAAAATGATTACCAAAATAATCGTTCTTGGGCCAGGCGAAATTATTTTCTGGACTGAGCTCTTCGACAAACTGACGAATATTCTCACCTTCTTTGTTTTTTTGCAAGACGGCATAGAAACATTGCTCAATCACTTCTTCGCCACGATTCTTTTCAACGAGCTGTCCTTTCTTCTTTCCTTTTTTGGCCGGATACGTTCGGTTTTTAAAAAACTCCCACTGTCGATTCATTTGTGCCGATTTCACTTTATCCAAGAAAAGTAATGATGCCAAAACGGTGATTTTCGTTGACATTATGCTTTTCTGTTCGATCCACGGTTTGACAATGTGATTGAACTCTGGTCGTAAAATTGTGTTGAGGCGCATTTTAATCGCGAACAATCCATTATCGTTTACATCATCATCAGCATCCTTTTCTTTTTGCGCATTCGTTTGAAATTTGTATCGCTTTTTTCTTGGCGCTGTAGCAGCCGTAGTTTCACCAGTCGTTGACATGTTGAACTAAAACGAAATAAAAAAAAAAACACACGCGCAATTTAGAACACAAATAAAATGACAAATATATTTTCTGCACTGTGTAATTTTTGTAAATGAATTGAATCAATAGGAAGCACTGAATATATGGGGACAAAACTGACACTTGATGTTACCTGATTGAATGTTAAGCGTGAAGTGATTCAAAATCGACAAATTGAGTGATATTAACTCTTTTGAATGCAACATATAAATGCAAACCACACCAACACGGTCCAAAGTTGAATCAAAATATTTGCAGTTTCAGCTTGTGAATGTTATGTTATTATCAAAACTAAACAAAATCAAACACAAAATTCACCGCAAATATCTCGTTTGAAAACAATCGGTTGACAATGATTCCAATAGAAAACCGCCTACAGCGGAAAATAAACTTCTTTGAAAGCAAGAAACAAATATAACATACACTGACACAATCCAAAAATATGTTTTAGCACTTTTATCAATCGAATCCAATGAAATTATGACGATGCAAATTCAAATAAAAAAAACATTGATTCTGACAAGTTTCAACACGATCGTTTCATTTGAACCAACACACTTCTCCACATTCCGATGGTTCTGTGTCGGAAGCATTCTTATATTGCACACATTTTTTGTTTATAAAGCGTTTGAATAAGAATGTATGGTACGGAACCAATAAACGGAATCACAGTTTGTATGTAAACACTTAAGAGCAAAAGAAACGGAATGATTATTATTATTAGCCTATCGCGATGGATATAAATGTGTATGTGTTGTATGGACTGCTTGGTTCAAATCATAAAATGATTTTACAGGCCAAAAAAACAGCTGACACAGCGAACAACACGATTCTGAAAATGCGTTGAATATAAATACTTTCTTTTGTTTATTTATCGAATTCTAAAGAATCGCAACAATATTCTATCAAAGCGAACAGTGTCGATATACGTGCAAACAGCAAAGAGAATTGTACTTCAAATTCTAATCAACTATATTTTCAGATATGTTTTCGTTTCGGGAAGTGCTAAAATCAATCGCTTCGTTATATGAATGCCATTTACTAACATAGAATTTTGCCTTCTTTGAATTAAGAAATACCATTTTTTTATTTGCTGATACGGGAAACACTCTATTCTACATACCAGAACACCATTCACTTGAATCCGTGATAATTCTGGGAAATCATCTAAAAACGGAAAATGGACGAGATATTGAATTGGCTGTCGCTCTGCTATGACCTTATAAGTATTTTGCAGTGATTTTTTCAGATGGAGTAAATTTGAAATGTGAATATTTGGTATGGGCGAAAATGGTATAAATGTTAAATTCAGTGTAATGCGATCGGTTCGAAAACGTTTATAGGTTTCCGGGTTCATTAAAACAAATGAGACAATGGAACAGTATATTCAACAGGTAAGCTTGTTTGTATAACTTCCAATCCAAAATTCATGAGTATTGAATGCATACTTTTTGGATTTCAGTTCTTCAACCAAGCATTTGTCAGGGATAAGGTCAATAAGACTTATCAAATTTCTTCAAGAATTTACGATTTGATCTATGAATTAAATGTCATATGTCAAAGTATTTTTTTGCAAGTATTACCACAACTTGAATGCAAACTAAAAGCTGGATCAGAATCCGAGCGTTTGAGTAAGTTTTATCAGTAATTTCTTCTTATCAAAACAGTTTTACACTCATTTTATCTTCTTTTCTCGAATAAATAGAGGCAATTTTGCTGGCGCGTATGTTTTCGGAAAAAAATTCAACGCTTGCCAAACAATATAGTGCATTGTGGCGGCAGTTTATTCAACGTTTCTGTGACATTGCCGTACCGATTCTTGATTCAAGCGCTAAATTATCGAAGCGCTAAAATTTCGCCAACATGACGGCGATGAGACCGTTCGTTATGAAGTAGTAATGGCAATTGTTGAAACAGCCAAACGCGATTTTCGCATTGTATCCGAATCAGAGGATCTATTAGAGTTTGTGAAAGAGCGCACACTGGACAAAAAGTTTAAAATTCGCAAAGAAGCAATGAGCGGTTTGGCTTTGATTTATAAAAAATATTTGAGTGACGTTGATGTGCCGGAAGCGACGAAAAAAGCTGTCAATTGGATAAAAGATAAAATTCTTCATGGATACTATATGACTGGGCTAGAAGATCGATTGTTGGTCGAACGTTTACTTATCACATGCCTAGTGCCGTACACATTAAGAGCCGAAGATCGTATGAAAAAATTGTACCAACTACTTGGAACCATTGACGATAATGCTATCAAGGCATTCATTGAATTGCAAAAGAACCAGTTGAAAGTTCGCAAAAGTGTTTCGGATTGGGTCAAATTACATCACGCTAAGAAGGTAACACCAAAAATTCAAAAAGAAATGAACATCATGTGTCAAGCAATTTCAAAGTGAGTAAAAAAAAAAATCACATTTTTAAAGTGAACAATTTTTCACTTGTAATTGAGAGAAGAAGCTAACATTTCTCATTCTTTTTCCATATTTGCAGACAATTGCCGGATCCAGTAAAAGCGCAAGAATTTTTACAAAAATTCAGTGCACATCTACGCAAAGACCTCAATTTATTGCGTGATATGGAGATAATTTTGCGAGGTGATGTATCATGTCGTGAATGTGCAGACACAATGTCGCTTGTGTTGAAAAAATTGGGCCAGCCAATTATGACAAATTTGTATTACAATACGGTGAAAATGCTGTTGGAACGAATTGCATCGGTAATGGTTGACAAAGAATCAATTGAAATATTAGTTGGTTTAATTGAAGATTGTATGAATGGTGGTTCGGTCATCGAAGAAGTGAGTTTGCCACCGGATTCGGCCGGTGAACGTGGATTGAAGCTGCTTAGTATTTTGGCTTATGTATTTTCGGCACATTTTCAACATGATACAATTCTGCGTCATATTATCGGTTTGCTTAGTTTCGAAGAGGAATATGTTGCACCATACGTTTTAAAAGCGCTTACATATTTAGGACGTTATAAACCATTGATTGAATGTCATGCTGATTTCTTGTCCGAATTGGCGCCAATTTGTAAAGAATTGGCCATATCAGGTACTCCGAAGCAAGCAAAACATGCAATTCGATGTATGTTTGTGAATACACAACAGACAACTGAAGAAGAACCGTCAGTACCAGCTAATTTGGACATTTTCCCTGATATTGTTGAAGCATTCAAAGTGACATTGGATCCAGAACACGAAAATTATCGCACTGCAATCGTTGCACTTGGTCACATCGCATACAATATTCCAAATCGGTTTACTGTTCAAATTAAAAACACAATTTCGCGACGAGTTGTCAAGGAACTACTTGTGAAGGATAGCGAAAATAACAGTGACAATCAACCGACGGGCGAATGGTGCGACGAGGATAGTTTACCAGAAGAGACCCGATGCAAAGTTGAAGCACTCAAAACGATGGCCAGATGGTTATTGGGTTTGAAACAAGACGTTTTATCAGCACAAAAAACATTTAGGATGCTATCGGCATTCATAAAACAACAAGGTGATTTACTTCAATCCGGTAATTTATCGCCGGCCGAAATGTCGTGGCTTCGCTTAAGTGCCGGCAAAGCAATGCTCAAGATTTGCGAACAAAAAGGTGTAGGCGATCAATACTCCACCGAACAATTTTATATGCTATCCACACTCATGCTCGATCCAGTCATTGAAGTTCGAGAACTTTTTGCTAAGAAACTTCACAAAGGATTGAGCAAAGGTATTCCACACAAATGCCTGCCACTTGATTTTATGGGATTTTATGCGATTGGTGGACGAGAAACCGAACGCAAACTACAAAAACAAATTCGCACGTATATTGAAACGGACGTTAATCGTCGCCGTGAATATTTGAAAACATTTGCTTCAGGTAAGTTACTTACACTTGAGTTGCTTCGCATACAGACTTTACTTATTGTCATTTTTTTATTTTACAGTGGAAAAAGCGATGTCACAATTACCACACATATTGCCTGACTACATGCTTGTATTCGCTGTACCAGTTTTGACACATGATCCAAACTTCACATCGGTCAGTGATCCAATCCAATTGAAACAAATTGAAAAATGTCTATGGCTCATCCTTGAGCCACTCATCACAAATCGTGAATTCTTTTGTTTTGGATTCTATAAGAATTTGATTCAACGAATGAAAAATCACCGAGATGCTTACAAACCAGATGACGCGACTGTGAATCATGTAAGATTTTTTTATCTTTGTCAATACAAAAAAAAAAACTATATCTATTATTTTGTTTGTTTGTAGAAAATGTATGTGATTTGTGATTTGGCCATGCATATTATCTTGACGAAATCGAATAATTATGATGTGCGTGACTTTTCGCTGGATGCTCGAATTCCATCGATGTACTATCAAGCGCAACCGGAATCTTATCAAAATGTACAAAATTATATCCCTGAAGTATATCTACCGTATAACAATAGTACGGCCACTGCAACTAAGAAAACTGGCATTGTTGTACCGGTAAGAAAAAGATGTTTTACATTTAATATTAGTCTATTTATCGTTTTTGATGGTCCAATTTATTTATTTATTTTTCATCAAATTCTATAGACAACGCGTAAAGTACTGCGAAGCGATGAAGAGATGGCAACAAGCTCTTCGGCTTCGGCAACATCACCAACATCACCTGCATTAACAATTCAAGCCGCCAACCAAACCGCCAATACAAATACAACAAATTCGTCAACAAATGATGCAGAAGATGAACAAACAAACGGCAAAGAGACAACAACAACCACCACAACAACGGTAAAAATGACACGTTCGAAGCAGTCGAATCAAACAGATGAAAATACTGAACCTCCGGCGAAACGACTCAGAAGCACGCGCGCAACAGCTGCATCAAACCATCAATAGAATTTAGTTGTTGAAATTTTTTTGGCGTCGATCGCTCACACATTGCTCCTTTCATCGGTTCATTTTAATTTTTAAACTTTTGTTGATTTGTCCATCGCTCCTCATCAATGGAGAGAAAAAGAAGAAGAAGAAGAAAGAGAGAAGAAATCTATGAATGCCGTTAAGTTCATTTTCTTTTGCGAAATGGAATTCGGAACGAACTAAATAAACGTTGGTAAAACGCGAACATATAGAGTATACAAATACGTATGTAAGCAGTTAATTATTATTATTGCGTAAACTCATTTTTCACATCATATTTTTCTCATGTTTATTCAAACAAATGATTTCGCTTAAGTTTATGCCTTTGATTTAA